TTTTTCCTGGACCAAACCCTATCGGCTCAAGTAGGAGGGATGATGGTTGGGGCTTTTTAGGAGGCAATTGATGGCTCACCTAATTCGGTAGGTAACCGTTGATAGAAATGCATGTTTTCTGGAGCCCAGGCTCTACTTAGTGTCTGTGTGCTGGTGAAAATCAAAGATAGACACAAATCACTGGGAGGCCAAGGACACAGCTAACTGGACACTATTTGTAACTATATGAAGTCTATGTGCTCTTAAAATATTGATCATTTTTTTTTCTTATGTAATGTAAAGGGGAGCAGAATTTGTCACCCCAAAATACGCCTCTTTGGCATAAGGATTATTTTAGGCTGATTATTTTTAAGCAAGAGGAAAAGCTCTGAAAACAGAGTAGAAGTCACCTTTTTTTAACAAAGACATTTATATAAGGGAAGTCTCCATTTGTAAGGGTGCCTCACTCTCTATATCTAGAAGAGAAAGATGACTCTAAATCTCCAGAAACTCTATCCATGGAGGAGGCAAGAACTTAAATCTGCGTAACAACCTTAACCTTCTTTACTGTGCTTTTCCTGGTCACCTTCGTTCACTGGCTCCCCACCCCAAACATCTTTTGTCTTTAGCCGAAGATGACATCTAAGGTGATGGCTTTGGCCATTTGGGGGAGTTACCCAGTTCTTCTGGGGTCTTTCCCACATATGCAGGAGGTACACACATTATTCAGCTTTTGTTGGTTTTCCTGCTGTTAATCTCTCTCTTTATTACAGAGGTAAGTCTTAGCCAAGAACTCAGATGGGTAGAGGGAAAAGTGCTTTTCCTCCCCCTCAAGTGTTAATGTGTATTTGTTCACTCACCTGCTCCTAGCTGCTCCTTACTAAAGGTCAAGTGGTTGTGAAACCACACGCACTGTGGAATCCAAGCAGCTGTTTAAACTCTTGGACAGGTAGTGGTGCCTTGCCGCTTGCCTCTGACGAGCTGCAGAGGCAGCCGAGGGTGGGCTGACTTTGACCATCTGGAGGTTTTGATGTGCTCCATCGATCTCACGCCAACCTGGCTTGCCAGAGCTGGGTCACTGTGCTCTGCGACATTTCAGGATGGTGCTCAAGAGTGCGGTGCTCTGCAGCCTCCTGGGCCCCTCCTGCAGGTGCACTTGCTTTTTCGGTTTCATGCTGTTTTTCTTTCCCTCTATAGGCACTCACGGCAGAACTATTATTACTTGCTTGTTACTGCGCGTTGCTGATTCATTCTCAGAGGGGAAAGAAATTTTGTCTTCCACACTCTTCCCTGTCACTGAAGGCATATGTTAACGAAAGACAGATTTTGGCATCCATTCTCCCCTGTAGCTCCGAGGCCGCAGTATCGATTCATTATAAATGAAGACGCAACTGTTATTTTACTTCTATTTGTATTTATAACTACACCAAAGCTATCCTGCTGGTACCTTTGTGCCTCTCGAATCCCAAGCCATATTCCAAGGAATGCTCAATATTTTATGGGTGAATTGGCATTAATGTACATACAATGTTTTAAATAAAGATGCTTTCACTTGTATTTTATTACTGACACTCCCTGGATTCACATGTATTAGACTGTGCTAGAGCTGAATCCCTTTGAAGGCTGTCCCCCCTGGCTGCACAGACTCGCGTTTTCCCTAAGTGAGGAGCATGCCAGTGCTGGGGCTCCGCTTGCTCCGAGGGAGGCTAAGTGGGGGGGCAGGAGCAGAATTAAACACACGCAGGCCAGGCCGCAGAGAGCTCGCGCCACCTTCGCCTCGCCATTCCCCTCAGCAATTTTCCTTCTCTTCCTTCCCAGTTTGTTACTGTGGACAAGTGCAACCTACTTATTTCATAGAATCACTGGGTCTAGAAAGAGCCGCAGTAACCTTGAAGATCATCTGATCCAATCTCCCATCCATTGTTACAATTCCCCATTTCATTCGGAAACTCTCTCCTCCGGTAGCTTTCTGGGCAGCATTTGAGCCTTTGATGAGAAGGGCACTGATGAGAGTAGAAGTTTTGGAAACAAGACAGTTCTGGGTACAAATTGTGGCTGTCACAGGCCTCTCAGCGCCCTCGTCTCATCTGTTAAAGAATTATAAAAACTAATTTGTAGGGACTTGAGGATTAAATGAATAACAGTGTAGTATATAAATAACTTAGCACTCAGAGCTAAATTAAGAGTAGCTCAGCAGTTCAATAGGAACTAGGACCCATGCTTCCCGACTAGAGGCCATACTTTTCCACAGCATCTTACTGTCCTTCTCACAAGGTCTCATAAAACCATTGAAAAAGTGTCTGTTGCTGGAGTACTCAGTGTGCTGCCTTGTAGATTGTAAATGCTTTTATTAATAACAATACCTCACGTATATTCAGTGCTTTAGAATTTACAATGCACTTTCACAAGTGGGGAAAAATACCCCAGCCAACAAGTCCACTGATGACTAATACAGGCAGGAAATAGAGGAGCAGAGGTTCTGAAAGGTCTACCACAATGCAAATGTGAAGTAACCAGCACCTGTGAGGGGCTTAATAAACATGAAAACCCATTAGAAGTTACAATGTGAGATAAATTCAGGCTCCAGAACTTGGCTTTGATGAGTCTGAAAACCATAGGAATATAGCACAGGCATTTTGGGGCAAGAATTTAAGTTACTTGAAGTTTAACAGTCTAACTGGTTCAGATAACCAGGAGGGCAGCTCTTTACATACATATGAATTTCCACATAAAAACTAGGGTATACCAACGGTTTAGATCACATAATGGTAGAACCCTCAATGCATTCATAATTAGAGACAAAGCATATGGAACTGAGACAAACAGCAAATTAGCTCTCAGAAGTCAACATTAACTGGGTGTTTCAATCCGACAAATGTGTCATACTGCATGCAAAACTTTTAAAAATAGAAACTGTTACCTTGGCTTTTCTCACAACCTTCTCAAACAGTTCTTCATGTGTGTGAGAATTTTTACATATGGAAAATGCTCAAAAGTGAATTTTTAGAAATGGAAAAAAAATGCAAGGTGCATGTTCAATATAGCATATTTCATTGTTTCTGTATGCTAAGAAGATGAAGGAACATCTCTTTTTCTGTTAAGAAGAAAATGGTCCTTTTAAAATCTAGCTCCCTCAGAAGATGAATTTTTAAATATCAAACTCTGCCTAACTAACTGGTCCTAGCTTTAAGGTTATAAGGGGAAAATTAAAATTTCATGAAATTTTCAAATAGTTTAAATTAATACCCTAGCAGATACATTTGCAATACTTTATGATTTCTTCATACCTATAGGCAATATTCCAAATCAAGTCTTTCTCTTTTTTTTCTTCCTCTGCCAAAAATCTACATTTTGTCTAGCAGCAAACTCAAATGGGGGGGTGATTCAGGTCAGAAAGACTGACGACCACCAAGCTTAAAGACATTGGTAGAAATGGTCCTACTGAGCAGCTACGTGGAATAGGAGGTCTATGCTAGAACAGAGCCCAAAAGAGGACAGTTTGTGTCTCATAGTCCAAATTTGGTTGATGTATTTTTGAAGTTTCTAAAGGTTAACTACATGCTGTAATACACTATAGAAAGACACGAAGCTGAATTTTACTGTGCCAGTCAAGAGGCGGGCTTGAATCTGCTATTTAGGACTAAGAGAGACAAGTACAATTTACATGTGTGAGAATGTGAGAATAATTTTACCTTCTGTTGTTTTTAAAACCACCTTGGGCCATGAGTTTGAAATTGAGAAACAAGAAGATCTGCTGGGGTTCCCATAGCAACATTGACTTTTCTAACTGCCCTTGATGTATGTAATACTTTCATTACTAGTTTGGCTTTTAAATGTACACTTTAATTATGAAATACAACTAAGTTAAGAGTTTCAGGCAAATTTTAACATTTACATTTACTGACTGATGCATGTTTAAACAAACCCTGATACTGTACTTCTAAGGACTTGCTACCAAGGCAGGTATGTGCAAACACCTTTCTGTGGTCTTCCTTGCTCCTGATCTCTGACCTCACTGCATTCCATTCTATAGATGAGCCCTCAACCAATCTCTCCAAATACCTTTATAACAGGCCATGACTAGGATTAAAAAGAAACAAACAAACCTCGGATAGCTCCAGCCCAGAGACTAGAAGCCAATGTGCCCTCTATTCTAGTCTGTCTATAAGCTGGCCCCTCCCTATCTTTTCTCCACTATTCCTCATCATGAATGTTTTACACCAGATACATCTATTTTCTCACCATCTTCTGAGAGCATTCATTCAAGGGCTAGTTCGACACCCGCCCCCTCCCAGAATCCCAATTCTCCCTCTTTCCTTCCCACAACAATCTTTTTCTTTTCGGAACTACTATTACTACTGTGACCACCACCATGTGATACAGTGTGTCTTGGTTTTTCCTTCGAGGAACTCTCCTCCATTCTATACATTCTGGTGGTACTATCAATTAAGCTGCTCTGCCCCAGCCTAGTAAGAGATAATCCATGACCTAAGTTGCACCAATCGTGTTCTTCCAGGAAGTTGAATTTTAAGTAAATTCAAAAAGGAAAAACAGTGGGAATAGAATTATTCTCATGGTGGTCCTTTCAAGAGAGTGTCCATTTCCTCGAGATTTTTGTGACTCATAATCAAAGTCCACTAGCTGTTAAGCTCCCTACTTTAATCTTGATTTATAGGCTTGGGATGTGTACGTTTTGCTTTGCCAGCTAGATACTATTTATGCTTTCTGAAGACAGGGTTAATTGTATTATTCCACATAATCCAGCACAATGTAAGTACTTAGTAACAAATGAGAGCATTTGTTACCCCATTAGATACCCCATTCTTTTAATGTGCAATATGCAAGTCAACTTATATCCTTTTTGAGGCAAAGTGGTAAATAAAAATTTTTTAAAAATTATTTATTGATTTTAGAGAGAGGGAGGGAGGGAGGGAAAGAGAACATAAATTTGTTGTTTCACTTATTTATATATTCATTGGTTGATTCTTGTATGTGCACTGACTGGGGATGGAACCTTCAACCTTAGCATATTGGGACAACACTCTAACCAACAGAGCTACCTGGCCAGGGCCCAATAAAAAAATTTTTAATTGCTACAATTTAAGAGTTTTCTTAGGTATAACAGATGTCTTAAAGAGAACCTTACAATGATTTGTCTACCTAATAATCTGAAAATAATGTTACCATGAGTCATACTTCCCGATTTTAGAAAAGGAAAGAGAAACTAAAATTCTATTTCAGACGTTAGTCTCTGAATTAAAAATAAAAAAAGTTTTTGGGAAAACAGACGACAAAATGAACAAAAAAATACACCTTTGTCTTGGGTTTGTGATTTTCCCTGGAAACAAGGTGAGCTGCCTTTCTGCTACCAGGTAACACTGGAGAGGAGGTAAAGTGTGTTTGACTAATATATAAATAGAGTAGGTGATTTTCTCCACTTCCCGAAAAATGGAAGGTTATGGCTTCTCAGAATCATCTAACTTATGACAGTAATTTAATTGAAAGCTTACAAAATCAGACAACAAATAATGATTAGACATCATAAACCCAAACAAGCTTACTCATATTAAGTTTTGAAAACACAGGCTATGGTGCACTCTTCCAAACCACTTACATGTGCTTAAAATACACAAAAGAGCTCACCCGGGACAAACAGCAAAATATATAAATTACCTTCTGATTGTCTTTTCAAAAATGAAAAGTGTATAAAAGTCTTTGAATAGTGTAGTCCTCTGGTTTGTCCCTCAATATGGTACAGAGTTCAGCTACGAAAATGTCAATTTGGAGCTTTTTTGTGTCAAGTGTATGGTTTCTGGAATTTGCCTTGAACCCATACTCGGTGCATTTTCACTTGTTTTTTCCTATTAACTTGTAAGCGACGATCAACCAGATTTTGCTTCTCCTCTAACCCAGCCTTGCAGAACATACTGTGGACTTCCCCTGTGGGACAAAAACAGCAATCAAATATGTGACATATGACTGGGCAGGGGGCAGTCAGGAACATGGAACATTAAACGGAATGACTTACCATCTAACTTTCATTTATACTAGCAAATACTCTATTACAAATTGGTAAAGGAAACGTGAAACCAAGTGGATTTCTTCTATTCACACAAATACACCAAGTATAAACAGGTTAGCACAGCACAGCATAGATACACAACACTATTGGTTACAGCTTTCAATATTTTGAAAGGTGCCACCTGTTTGAGTTTTTGTTGGTTTGCAGAGACCCCAAATGACACTTTATAATAGTAGTCACAGAAGTTTGGGGAAAGTCCTTGAATGCAGAATTCATTTTAAATACTTTTTTAAATGAGAAATTGACAAGAGCTAAGTAATTTTCTAAGGACTCTTAAAATCATATTTCTTCCGTTGGCTGTGCATATTATCAATTTTTTTCATATCTGGACTAACAGTACCTCCAAAATGGAACAGACTATCCCTTCATCTGGGTATAAGGATGGAACAAGTGATGACTTAAAGCAGTTTCGACTGGAGAAAGATTAGAGGGCAAGAAGGCCATTTCCAGGCTTTCGTGTAGAATAGTGCAGTCACCAACTTGTGAAGACATCCAATATTTTATCAACCATTGAAGCCTCATTTTTAGAGCTTTCGAGTTTTCTCTCTGCAAACAATAACCAAAACATTTTTTTACAGCTAATTATTTCCCCTAATAGATAAGCACACCTTTTGTAAAGAAATATGCTCTGGTACCATCTCCTCGGACATAAAAATTTTCAGATAAACAATGCCCTGAAAAAAAAAATTGTGAGAAGAGCAATTTAGTATTCCTTAAAAAAACAAAAACAAAACCTTGACATGAAATATAAATGAGGCATTCTTTCAAACACATGAAAATAATCTGAAACTGAATGTACTATTACCCCTTTTAAAACGAAGCTGAGTCTTATCATATCTTCCATAGTCCCGAAATAGCAGCATTCCCCCAGGTTTCAGTAACTTGGACAATCGGTTTACAACACCCTGCATCCTTTGAAAACAAAGAAAGATACTGTTTGCACAAATCCTTTCTACATGCCACATTTAACTTTCTTAAAGATAAAATAAAAAAAGCTCAATAAGGCCAAAGAAATCTGAACAACAAAAAATAAGGGCAATCAAAACAAACAGAAAAATGATCAGATTCAAAAGTCCTAGAGAATCAAGAAGTCACCAAAGTGACCAGGGCTTGATATGAAGTCAAAGCTCAACTACAAAACCACATAGACATCGGATAATTACAGCAAATTAAAGTAGTTCCAAGGCAGATAAAAACAGACGTCACTCCACTTTCTTTGCAAGATAAAAAATATGTCAGAGCTATCTCAAATTGTACATATCTAAACAGAAATCACCTTTCCTCCAAAGCAGCTCCTTTTCTCCTGATTTCCTGATTACGCTCAAAGGTACTACTACTCACCAAAGTGTAACACCTCAGGGATATCATTAGCCCCTTTCAGTTTTCTCTTCTTCCACTATCCTCTCCAAAACCATTTGGTCATCAAATTCTGTCTTCTTTTTCTTTTTAATGACATCTTTGATATTTTTTCTCTCTTTTGTTTCCCACTGGTACTCCCTTAGTACACACTGCTACCTTCTTAGGCCTGGAAACAGAACAACTTTCTGACATGCTTTATTATTCTCCCTGTCAATTCTTCCTACATATTACTGATGAATCATTCTGCTTAAAATGATGGTTTTGGCAAATCATTCCTTTGCTCAATTAATTTTCCAACCTCTTTCCCGCTACTTCCTAATCTGAAGCACCAAATCTAGCCACAGTGTTACATGCTTGGCTCTGAGCAGTCCATGCCTCTGTTCAGATGGTTTCCTCTCAAAGAATTCTCTCCTCACTCTGTCTATTTAAATTCTATTCACGCTGCAAGCCCCAGCTCAAAACTGGGAAGCCTTTACTTTCTTTCTTTTATTATTTATTCTACTCATCTCGTTACCCATCAAGTATGACCCCTTGTGACTGTTCTTGACTTAATGTTTTTGGTTAAGTATTCATGGACTTATGTGTGATTATGGGCAAGAGATGGCAAAGACTTCCGATCTTATATCAATGCCCAGGGCTTGACACTGGCTGACTGCAGAGCTCTACTGAGAAGAACTCTTAGGGCTTATTGGGAATGATGATTAGAGTATAAAAACAGTGATCAATGTCGGCCCTGGGCAGAGAGTGGTGAATGGCAGCCGGTGTACAAATTCCTTGTCATCTCTGCTTTATCCACGCTACTTAAAGCTTCTGAGATGTTTTCATTTTAAAGATGAGGGTTTGGGATCAGATAATCTGTACATTTCTTCCGATTAAAACACTGTTCAGTGGAATAATGGGGTGAAAAGCCAGGCTGGCAGGTTATGGAGGAAGTAGATGGTGAGAAAATGAAAATAACTATGAAAACCAGAGAGAGCAGAAAGAGGTGGCATGGTTAGATGAAAAGCTCTTTTAAAAAACTGGAACATAAGTACATAAAAGGGAAAAAGAAAAGTATTTTTCCTTGTTTATTTTATTATAGTTTTTTTTCACACTATGCTTATATCCTTGGGCTTTGGCAATTAAGTAAAACTATATCTAAACCTTAAAATAACTCACTTCCAGGAGAAATGTTTTATGTACAGAGAAAAGTCTCTTTTCTACAATTATTACTAAAACAAGCATGAAACAAAAATGCAAAAAAAACAAAGAGCCAAAGACAGTTGACCCCTGAACAGCGTGGGTTTGAACAGCACAGGTCCATTCCTACACAGACTTCTTTCAATAAATATATTGGAAACTTTTTTGGAGATTTCCTTACTACCGTGAAGTAATCATATTGGCTACACTATGCTACCAAAAGGTGATCATGTTGCTGCTTCTCCATTATCAATGCATGAATCAGTACACCTTTAAATAAATATGAATTTCTTTTTCACAATATATTTTCATTTTTGATGTCTAGTGTTAGAAATATGTATAACATCTACAGTGTTTTGCATCATGTAAGATAATACTGATGGAGGTACTGACAGACAATCTAGCTTATAAAGAGATGATGTAAACTTATGATATCAATAAATACAGCACATCCTGTGAATGTATTTTCCTTATGATTTTGTTAACAATATTTTCTTTTCACTAGCTTACTTTATTGTAAGAATAGAGTATATAATGCATATAACATCCAAAATATATGTTAATTGCCTGTTTATGTTATTGGTAAGGTTTCTAGTCAACAGTAGGCTATTGGTAGTTGAGTTTTTGGGGAGTCAAAAGTTGTACGTGGATTTTTCAACTGCGCAGGGGGTCAGCACCCCCAACCCCCGCCTTGTTCAAGGGTCAACTGTACTTCAAAATGCAGCCACCTCCTTCTGCAAATCCTTTCTTCCCAACTGTCCTTTCATGTCAGGGGTCATGGGAGCTGCTTTTCTTGACCATCCCCTCTTGGCTGACCATGCAGTTCCAGGGCAGGGAGGACTGCGGGCGGGGTGGCCGGCAGTGAGACGGACTACCCGAGAATGGCACCCGGCCCCTTGTCTTTCTTACCTGACCTGGGCCAGCTCCGCTCTCCTCGCCTACCTCTGGATGAAGGAAGAGTAGAAAGAAAACATTCTTTAAATGAGTACTGCCTGCCTACTGTATGCTTGGATCTGTGGTAAACATACTTTCTTTCATTTTAATGACAAGAAAGACAGTTAGCTCTTCTTTTGTAGCCTCCTGTAGTTTATTCCTTTTTAAGCTGGGACCCCCAGACTCAAGGTCTAGCTGAGCTGCTTGCTGTTCATTTGTGCATGGATTTTCCAAGTTGACAAGAAGCTACTTTTCTAGAACTTTCATGGGGCAGAATCTACTACCACAGTCCTAAATGACCCTAAAGATACTGCCTTGCCTTTCACTTACTATTGCCCTCCTTCACCTTATTTTTAGATCATTTCCGTGTAGGTAAGAAAGTGGCTACTGACATGATACATCTGAATTTATTCTGTAATAAATAAATACAATGAATACACTGTACTATAAAAGCAATCTTCCCAAGGCACCTGCTTTGCCTTCTCTTTAACATTCATCTCAAATCACAAGAAAATACATCATCTAAACTAATTTCAAATAGTCTTTTTGTGGTCTTATTTGGAATTTAAACATTTCCTGTTATGAGTGTTGAATAGAAAATCTTGTTCTCTATCCACCTACTCCATCCTTTTGACTATTCATCCTTTTAACTATGAAACAAAACACATAGATGACATCTTTCTACTAGTACTTGAATAATGCCAATAGTCTAAACACATTAGCAGAAATAGCTTATACACATTAGAAGGAAATAGGTTATAGAAACTGGGAGGAAAAAGTAGCTTCATGGAACCTGAGATATCTCACTAAGTGCAAATATATCTTTCAGATTTATATGGAAATCTACTTTGTTTTTCCACAAGTAGTCAAAGTGCTCATCTCTGAATGAGAAGTAACAGGCTGTAAAGGGTCCTAGTGACCTTGTAATTGCAAAGAAAGAAGCACATGGTAACTCAGCCTCTTTGGGAAAGGGTCACACTCATCAAACAAAGAGTGGTTGATGCCAAGTCTGTATCTACTGCCAGAGGCTCCTTCCTGGAGCTGAATCTACTACCATAGTAGAAAACCCACATTTAAGAAACCTTATGAAGGCACAACCACTGACACCACACATGAGCCTTAATACATATGAGGTGGTAGGATTTCAAGAAAAGTGATCATTTTAATTGCTGGTAATAGCTCTTTATGCCTCTCTGGAGAAAAGCTGTGTTTACTTTTTCGAAACATTGTGTGTGTACAAAAAAATTTAAGTCAGAAATATTTAAAAATGCCACTAGGCCAACCTTAGATTATAAAGGTCGAAGTTTAACCTGGCAGATCTTGATAACCCCGAATTCCCTAGTGGGCTTCTTAAAAATAATTTTTTTTAAAGTCCCTGGATAGACCTGTGTGAAGCCAAATAGATTCACAGCCCACCTCTTTGCAAACGTTCAGTATGCTGCTAAATCAAAGATGTTTGTTTCTGATCACCAAGTACAATTTCCCTCTTGGGAGTCTATTAGGCTGTTCTGAATTTGTAATTTCCTTGAAGCACTGTCACTTTTAATAGGTATGTGTCTTGCGAGAATGTGCTCACTTCATTCTGACAGTGACAGAAAGCTCACTAATGAAGCAGTCTGACCAGTTTCTTTCTAAAAGTCTGAAGGAGAAACTGCATTTAAAAGGCTGCGTATTATACATAACGTGGATCACTAAACAATAAATTCAAGAATTGTCACTTTTGCTTTGATAGTTCTAAAAACTACTACTGATAAAGCTGCTTCACACGTTTGCTCTGCCCTTTCCGCTTCATTCACCTGTCTGGATGGATGGACGAGAGCACAAAGACAAGGAGAACGCCGTCCAGGATCCCATCTGGAAAAGGGTAGGGCAGGCTGTCGTCACAAACGTCATGAACAAAGGCAAAACACTGGGCTGCTCTGTAGGATGAGTGCGACTGTCATGGAAAGAAATAAAAAGGAAAAAAAGGTAGTTAGTAGACTTGTATTGTTCTTAAAAAAAGAAAGTCAAATTTTTTTTTTTACTTCTCCCAAATGCCTTTCCTCTATAAATTTGAATGCACTATATTTCTGATTCAGTATTGTTAGCTTATTTCAAAAGCTGCCATAAAAAATTAAGTTTAACAATTGTACATGATAACAAATATTCTTTGCAATCCCTCTTTAATTTTAAAAGTGGAGTAGGGCAGTCTTATGAGTCAGTGGTCAGCATTGTTGGAAGACTACCCTGTGTTATTTGCGAGGCAAAGAGCTGCTCCTCAGCTCTCTCTCCCACTGCTTGCGCCATGCCTCCATAAACTATATTTTAAAAGATTGCATTAGAGTACACACACACATACACACACACACACACACACACACAATTCACCTATAAAAACAACACTACAAGGATATATACCAAAATATTAACACTGATTCACCCTAGGACTCTAGAAAGTGTAATTGTAAGTAAATTTTATCACTCCCTTAAGGCTTTTCAGTATTTTAGAAAATGTCTACAATGAATAACTATGACTCTTATTATCAGAAATAACGTTCTATGTGCTTACTATATATTTTTGTTCACATAATTTCCTTTTCTTTTCCATTTCCCATCATTACCTCTTCTTGCTAAGGTCATGCTCACTAGCATTTGGGGACTGGTTAAATAAGTCCAGGTTTCCCACCGTTTTCCTTACCTTCTATGACATTTTAGATTTGCAATATATGCCTTTTCAGACTCCCCCCCCTCCCAGGAAAATTTTAATTTAATGCATGCCTACTATGTGCCAGACTGTGTGTAAGGCTTTACAGGCATAAATATGAACAAGATCACCTTGTAAGGGCCGTTGACCTTTCTAGGTGTACCAGTCCCTTGAACTCCATGTTAAATTCAAAACAACTTTTATTTTTTAGGGTCATATCTTAGGCATCAGTTGATTGTATGATTCCCAGAAATAGTAAAAGCTCAGTTAAAAATGGTCACAGAAAACATCTGATACAGAAACATCCCCCTACCCCCGCCAAAATAACTTCAACAGCAAATAAATCAGATTCTTATATGGCTCTCTTTAAAGAAAATACAAGGCATACCTTTACTAGCTCCACAGCTCCAGAGGCAAAATCACAACAATAAAGAAAGGACTCTGGAGCATTCCTGTGAAAACAAAAGACATATCTAAATCTAGAATCCAGATATGCTCAGACTGCAGAAGAAAGAGCACTAGGTTTGAACTAGTTAGTATTTTCTTAACAGAATTTTGGACAACACTTGGCTTGTCATTTCTTCTTGGTAGATATTGTTCTCTGTAGCGGTTTATGGGTAGCCTTCATGTTGCTTCTGACCCAACACTGTCTCAAACACTTATTAATTACAGGATTAACTTAAAATTCCTGTCCCAGTTTTAAGGCTCTCTATTGCTAAGGCCTACTTGCCCTCAGATCACACTCTTGCATGGGAAACTCCCGAGCCACCCATCAGCACTGCCCCAGTCTCCTCCTGCCCTCACAGGCACTCTTTCTTCTCTGCTCCTGCAGCATGGTCTCTAGCTACTCTTAGCTTAGGCAACCTCTACCCCTCCCCAAGGATCCTCAGACCCGTGTCCCTTGGGGCTTCATTCCTCTTCCCGTGTGTACAACTCATTTGGCTCCTGGGCCTCTGATGCCCTCATGAGGCAGGAACACACACACACACACACACGCACACACACATGCACACACATGCAGCATGTAAATATGACTTCTAATGAATAAAACACTAATATATTAATTCTAATATAGTTATCTTTTCAAGTTACTGTCAAACATTTATTGAGACTCATATATGTACCAAGCATTAGGATACAAAGTAGTGAATGAAACTGTGTAATAAGTGGATAAATTTTAGAATCAAATAGACCTGAGTTTAATCTTAGATTTGCCACTTACTAACTCCGTGAATCTAACTTATTCTTCAAGGCTTAGTTGGTTTACTTACAAAATGTAAATAAAGCAAGTAAACTTAGCTTTTTTCTCCCAGGGTGGCGTGTGGTGGAGAGGTTTACCCATGTGAAAATCTTGACTAGTTTTAATTGGCCTCCACTGAACTTCAGCAAGTTCTGTTTGGCCTTTATCTGAAACTCAGTAACAATGGCTGGACCATGGTTGTTAATGGGAAGCTGGACCTTTTGAATTCTGTGGGCCAGTGTCCTTCTTGATCATCCCTCATATGCTGGTATCAAATCCTGCATTATGTTGCTCAGGAAGTGTCTGAATCACAGAAAGAGATCAATATGTCACTAAATGTGAATTATCAGTATGGTCCTGGCTGCTGTGGATTTTATAGCCTATGTGGGGGCATAACTGGTTTTATTCAACTACTACAGGGGTGTGGACAGGGTAGGCTTCTGAAGAATTCTGAAGGAGGAGACGGCATTGCTAAGTGGGGAGAAGAGGAAATGGTATAAGGGTTTAGAGGTGGGGGCCACACACCGAGGATGAGAAATGGAGCCGATCCCAAGAGCCCAAACTGGTGTGAGGCGGGACACACAGGTGGGCCTTTGAAGCCCATAATCAGAACCTCTGATTTGATTCAGAAGTATTTCAAGCAAGGAGGGCTTTTAAATAAATATGGCCGATAAGCACAAATATGCATTTAGCAAAATCTCACCCAGGCTCAGACTATACTCTTAAATGCCACTCATTGATGAATAGTATGTTCACGTACAACTCACTTGTTCTGTGGCCCTAGGCATGGACACTTGATTTAAGATCTGTCCAAATAAATTCAAGTGTGAGGAACAGAATTTGGCTCTGAAAAGTTCACCAGTACTGAATCCTCTCTCTGTAACTCTGTTTCCTCATCTTTAAAACAGAGATAAATAAGGTGCTTGTGAGGATAGATAGATTCATATAAGTAGTTTCTAGAAAGATGTCCAATTCAGACTGCGCACCTAATAAATGTTAGTCGTTATTAGGTTGCTGCTGCTGTTGCTACTATCATTACCATATCATTAGAGGAAGATCTCTCTCTGCCTCCCAGGAACTTAAAAACTTAAGGACTTAACATGGTTCTGTAAAAACTTTCATTTAATTCAAAATGCTTCTCTGGACCCTGGCACATCTAGCTCATTGTGAAAGATACACAGTCTCTTTTTGGGCAGCAGTTACTAAACACCCACACAATACGGAACAATCTAGTTGCTAAAGGAAAGCACCGGCCATTCGCCATGTGCCTGCCAGGATGGCAGCCTGACCTCTGAGACTGAACTCCCACTGCATCAGCAGCCCAGGTTGAGGTCTTGTGACCACTCAACGACTTTCCAGAGCTTTTCTGTAAAATCAGCTGACTGCCTTGGCCCTTCTCCCAGCAAGCAGGTGTAAATATCACTACCACCACCACACCACCAAGCACTCTCTTGGCAAGGGGTTTAAGAATTAAATGATCCTTGGAGAACAATATGACTTCTCAATTCTGAAGGTCTAATTATGGTAAAATATTCTGAAAATGTAAAACATTAACCCTGTACTCTCCAAAAGTAATAAAACATAATTTCTTAGGTGGGAGGGAAAAATCTTCCTTTTGGAAGGTTAATCACTGGTTGCCTTTTACAGATGAATTAATTAGCTCAGATTACTGAGCTACAGTGACTTTTAAAATGTAGATTCGAGGCAAAATAAAGACACAGGCAAGAAGAGCTGGGGAGTGAGGAGGCAAGAGCTTGCAATTATTAGTTGAAGGGAGAAGCAGAGGGAGAAAATACAACTAACAAGTGGGGAATCAGAGATATTAACGAGTCAGTATGTACTGAGCTCAAACTATCTATACTGTACTGTTAGGGTATCTAGAAAATCAGATTAGGGGAAAATATGCTTGCTCCCTCAAGGAATATAAACAGTGGTTGGAGAGATAAGACATAAAGCAATGACATGCTAAATAATGCCTTGAGATGAGTCATAAAGTAGCACATAATCGACTGCCAATGTACTAGATTTATGTTGTGTATTATAAGCTTGGAGATCACTGGAGTGAGGGGAACCTGGCTATGTGCTATAAAGAACAAGAAATTTCAGTCCAAAAATTGGAAAAGGGAAGACAAAGGAAATAAGCACAAAAAGAGGAAAGCCATTCAGAACTGCAAATCTGCCAGCATCACTTCTGCCTGGCCACTTCAACTGGTTGGTTGATGCTACTAGGGAATTACTTACTATAATTATGTTAGATTTATAACAGTATTGGAGACTGTCCTGATTTTTTGGAGATACATCGTAAGACATGTCATATTTAAAGATAAAGTATCATAATATTTGCATTAATGGAGGTGGTGGGTACATGGGGATTCACTGTGTAATACTCTACTTTTCTGAATGCTTTTATATTTTCATAATGAAAGTTAAAAAATAGCATTGGTAAATTAAAAATATGCATAGAGAAAAGACTGAAGAATTACAACACAAATTCTGTCAGCAGCTATGTTAGGATAGTGGGGATGATGGGTAACCCCCCCCCCATTTCCTCTAATGGAAATGTTCTAGAATGCGCTTATGTTGATTTTATAAATGGAAAAAGAATGTAAAAGCTATGTGTAAACTTTACAAAAAAACACAAAAACTTGACAGACCAGCCATAGGTAAAAGGTGTTAGAAAAGTTTTGTAAGGTGCCTTGTTGTCACAGAAATCCTGACACATCAGGCGAGGTGGCGAGAAGGGATGGGCAGGCCAGGAAGACATCTCTGTCCCTTCCATCCACTTAAGCTTAGCCATTCACAGCTTAGTGGAAGGAGCAACCCTCTTCTCTCTTATTCACTCATCCACACAAACAGGAGCTTAAAAAATACTTCAACCCATGGTGGACAACCCATGGCTGTGAGACACTGTTTTCAGAGTAAACCTGAAGTCAGGCTCTAAGACTAAGACGCTGCTTTTAAAATTTGCCTTAGTCATTGTTTATATGGGAACAAGAATACCATTGGCACATACGTGACGACATTTTCCCAGACTTTCTCAACATCCCACATGTATATAGAATTTTGTAGGAGAAAACTCTGAAACTCACTGCAAAGTGTTCAGAATTGGAAAAACACTATTTCCAGCACCACAGCCAACCTAAAGTTAAAAGAACAAACAAATACCATGAAAACAAGGTTAAATTTTCCTCACCAATGTGAAATTTTTTATTAAAAAACCCCAAAAAACACACTAGAAGAAATGTACTGGACCTCTGGGTATAGGAGAGTTTTCTAAACTCAAAAGCAATGGAATAATACTGAGAAATTTGACTATGGAAACATTGAAAAATTTTATACACCAAAAACCAAAATAAACTGAAAAGATCACCAAAACATTGTGAAAAAAACACTTGAGCACTGGCCAGTGTGGCTCAGTGGTTAGAATCAGCCCTTGCACCACAGGGTCAAGGGTTTGATTCCTGGTCAAGGGCATGTACCTGGGTTGTAGGCTCGATCCCTGCCCACTGGGGATGTTCGGGAAGCAACCAATCCATCTCTCTCTCTCTCCCTTCCTCTCTCTCTTCTCCCCTTCCACTCTCTCGAAAAAGTCAATGGGAAAAAAAAAAAAATCCATGGGTGAGAATTAACAAAAAAAGCAAAAAACAACAAAAACACACACATTTGCAATAAATATGATAAAGGGCAGAGCTCATTAAAAAACAAAACAAAAAAAACTACAGGTAAATAAACAAAGAAAATACAGAGAACACAAAAGAAGCACAAATGGCTTCTAAACATTTGAAGAACTATATGACCTATTTAATAATCAAATGGAAATTAAAACAAGGTAAAATTTTTGTCTTATAAAGGTGAATAGCGCTAAAATACGAATATTTCAATTCATGAGGACGTGCTGAAACAGACACATAATGCAATGAACTGTGAACTGGTATTAGTACAACTTCTTAAAAAGCAATTTGGCAATCTATCTTAAGAGTATTAAACATTTTTATAAATTATGAACTAGTAAATCTAACCCAAGATAATAAAAGAAAATGCAGAAAAGTCTAATGCCAAAGGTGTTTGCTGTAAAAACCTGAAAACAATTTAAATGTTTAGTAGTGTGAAAAAAGATAAGTAGAATTATAGTACTCCACATAATAAAATATTTTGTAGCCATGAAAATGTTTATAGAAAAAATTTTAAAATAGGGAAAACAGCTTACAATATAATGTTAAATAGAAACAAAGCAAGACCTCAAAATACAGGCTTCGTATAGCTCCACTACATAAAACACTACAAACAAAAGGAGAAAATGTAGGTAGAATGTTAACAGTGGGATTATAGATAATTTTATTTCTCTTATTTACTCTTTAGGAAATTCTGTTACTAATATATTCTACCTTTATACTCAAAAGGAAAAAGTGTGTTTTTAAAAATAGAAAATCAAGGTCTACACTAGACTGTAGTATATTATATATCTCACTTATTTCATCTAAAAAGAATAACAGAGAGAGATAGAAATTAAGGCCAAAACTTCATTGTTATTTAAAACTGCCTTCAAGTTAAAAATTAAAACAGACAAATGAAAAAAAAAAATTAAAACCACAAACTTAAAACTTGAATGATTAAAGATATGAGTCCCTTAAATTTTCTTATGCTCAAAAGTATCCTGAAAATTTATTTAGATTTGGTTATTTTCCCCCTAAAAAAGCCTGTATCATTAATAAAGTAACATGGAATGTACATTTTAAAATGATTTCCCACCTCCCATCTTCGGCCCTGCAGTACATACCTCCAGGATTCTGAAAGTGGCTTTGCTACCAGGAAAGAGCTCGGTCTTCGGAGGTCCTTTTCTGCGTTCTTCAGAGTCCAGGCTGGATAAACCAGATTCTGCTTTGCTCTGACCATCCGACAAGCCAGAACTTTTATCATAATTTGTTTCTTCAGGCATAGTAGGGCAGTGCTTTCTTGAGAAACAATTTGCAGCATTAGTTTGTACACGATCCCATGATAATTCTTTTGTCTTCTCTTCAGTTTTTTGATCAATTGGAAGAATTTCAGGAAATTCCCTCAACAGCCAATTACGATTCTTGAAAAACTTATTCTTATGAGCCTTGTAAAATGTGTCCCAATATTTATTAGCTTCACTCTCATACTTAACTAAAATGAAAAGAAAAAAAAAGATTTATTTTACTATGAATTACATTTACCATTAGTCATTATCCTAATAACTAAATCTATTTAATAGTTAAACCTGTTAAATATATTATATATATTATTTATCATTTACAACAAGTATTTTACTATGGAATAACTTTAATATTATAATTATTAATAATTATAATTATATAATGATTTTCTAAAAAACTCTTACAGGTTAAAACTACACAGTATCAATTCTCTGGAGATGTGTCAGTGTGCGGGGTATTTAGTTCATCTGCTTCTGTCTCAGTTTTTTGTGAGGAATATAATCATTGCAAACTACTTTCTACAGTCTATCCTTGGAATCTTAATAATCACATTTTTACCAATAACCTGTAAGGCTCTTCATTATCCTAAAGAAAGGACACCTTTTTTGTCTGTCTGAATGCAGTTTCAACACAATGTCTATGGAAATTGGCAATCAGACAGGAAGTTGTAGTATTATAAATGACATAATCTTGGAGCTAGAATGGTCCATTGAAACAATCTATTCTGAGACCTTTGTTTTGCCCTGGAAGAAAGACAGCACAGAGTAGATGAACCCAGTTGTTCCAGAGCCCAGAGTCCCATCACAGCAGAACCAGGACCATGTCTGTATCCTGACTCCTGGAGTTTAGGGGTCACCCCATAACTCCATTCCTTCCCCACCTCCAGAGGCATCTCTTCCTCTTGACATCTCCTAATATGAAACTTAAAGAGAATTTCTGATGCCTTTTTAAAAGAGATATGCATTTTGTGATGTTATGCCTTAGGTTTCACTGGATTCTAGGGTCAGAGTTCGGTCAAGAGGCTCATAATTTTAGGAATTCTTAGCTCTCTGACTCTATCTGTACCTTAAATTAACAAACTAATTCACTTCCTCCCTCCCTCATTCATTCAACAAACATTTCTTGGATACTATTATGTACCAGGCCTACTCCCCAGGCCTAATCCATGGGTTAAGAATTACTTTCACCCAATGTAGACATATGATATATTTTTTTAATTTTTTAAAAAAAAGAATAAAAAACCTATTGATATAGAATAATTTCCAAGATTCAATGTTACACCTAAAAGCAAAGTGTAGAACAGCATGTTATGATGCAACCATTGGTTAGGGGGGAAAAAGAAAAAGAATACATGTGTGTGCATACACAAAAGCATACATGCATATACATATTTACTTGTATACGTACAGCATAGTTCTGCAAGGATTAGTAATTACAGACTTAGTAATACTGGTTGCCTCAAAAGAGGGGAGCTTAGTAGAAAGTTTTCACTTGAGTTTTGATCTGTGTGAAATTACTATGTACCAAAAAGAAATTAAACTAAAAATGAAAATAACAAACTCATTTTTTTCATAACTTTAAAGAAGCCCCTCCCTCAGAACAAGCAGTGCCTATAGTCAGGTTCCTCCGTTACAGCGCCCTGTTCTGAAGCCCTTGTAGTTTTCCTTTCCTTTCCATTTTTATCTTTATGGCCTTGTACCATGGATCTCCACCCATTTGGCCACAGGACTTCCTTCCCATCAAGGCTGAACTGTATCTGGCAGCAGGACTGCTAGAAAGACAGAAACTCCCATCTGTATTTAAGGCCTGAGAAACAAAAGCAGATCTCTGTAACAAAAGAATTATGCGATGCTGAAGTCCAAGACATGCTCACATCTGAACTGATGGAAGGAAGCCTATTTATGATTAATCTAAAAATGCTACATCTTTATTTTTACAATAGTCCTATCTCTACTTTTAAAAATTGAAGTATACTTGGTATACAAAGAAAAAAAATTACACTGAAAATCATACTCAGGAGGAATTAAGAAACTGTCTAATTTCCCCAGTGTCTTCTTGCACCTGCCTTCTTTTACCTTAAAAACTCTCTTTACAACTCACTCTATGCTGGTAGAAGGTTTTTCTGCTTAATGAAAAGCAACCACCTAACAAGACCTACATTTAGTCAAATCTCTAGTATCTGCGTTTCCAATACCAAGCTACTTGTGAAGTGATTTTGAACCTTTCAGTAAATAGAATGTAATACTATACCTTGATTAATTTGCAGAATATTCCCCTGAGAATTATTTGGGGTGTAGGGAGGTAGACAGCAGGGGAGTAACTTGAAAGAAAAGATATTCATAGCAGTGTTATTTATAAGAGGAAACATGGGAGATAACTCAAATATCCAACAAACCATGACCAAGCAAACCGTGCAGGTCAAAACAGAATAACCTTGCTCAGCAATTAAAATGAAAAGGAAAATAAGAGAAGACATTCACACAGAATAGTTTATGCACTGATTGCAACTCAAAACTTTATTTCACACTCATTTATTACAATCACGTGAAAATCTGGAATGATGGTAACAATTTAAAGGTTATTACATAGTTTTTTCTTTTGCAAAGTTTTATCTAAATCTTATACAAAGATAAATAATCTTAGTTGACTCTTCGTTCAGCTTGTCTACACAATTCCCTCATTTAATGAGGGGTTGAATCTACCTCAATGCTCAAGCTCTAAAAAGTCTATATACTTCCCCATTAAACCCCAGGAACCTACCGAGAGCATTAAACGTTATCAGTCTACAAACTACAAAATTTTGGATAAGATTGCTGTAATAAATATGAGCCTATATTACTGTTTTAATTTCTACAATTTATAAAGAAAATGAATTTGCGGTAGGTGACTGGAATCTGGTAGAGATACCAAATATAACAAGCATCTAAATTCAGCTCTGGCCTATGAAATCTTTCAAGAGGACCTGAATACAGTTACAAGATGATCGTCAGGGTATGCTAATATATATACTTTCAAGCCTTTTTCAAGCATTTCCTCTCTTGAATTAGGAGGAAAATCCCCCAAACAATTACATAAATCATTATACCAATAACAACATCATTAAAAATAACAAGAGTTACACATATTGAGTATTGATTATGTGCCAGGCACTATGTCAAATGCTTTACTTGGATTTTTCTTCCCATTTAATCCTAATAACACCCCTTAAAGAGACATATTATTCCAATTTACAAAGAAATTCAAGGTCAGAGGGGCTAAAAAATTTTCCCAAGGTCCAGCAGAGTGGGGGCCTGGACCAAGTCTATCAAACTTTAAAGATCATGCTCTTGACACCATTACACCACGCTGCCTTCCTAACAAAAAATCAGTAGTAACTCCCTCCAAAATATCTCTGAAAATAATCTGTTTTTCTTTTTTTTAATTTTCAAGTTTCTGCTGATACTTTATTTCTGTATTCAACACTATTTTGTATTAGTTTCAGGCGTACAGCAGAGAGGATAGACCTTCGTGTAGGTTACAAAGTGTTCCCTCTGATAATTCAAGTGTGCACCTGGTACTATACATAGTTATTACAATATTGTTAACTCTGTTCCCTAGGCTGTACTTTACATCCCTGTGACTATTCTGTAACCACCAATTTGTACTTTTTAACCCCATCACCTTATTTTACCCCACCCCATAATACCCCTCCCCTCTGGCCTCCATCGGTTCTCTGTATCTGTAAATCTGTTTCAGCTTTGTTTATTCATTTACTTCATTCTTTAGTTCCACATATAAGTGATATCATATAGGATTTGTCTTTGTATGGCTTATTTCACTTAGCATAATACCCTCTAGGTCCATCCATGCTGTTGCAAATTAATCTCTGTTTTTCTGATTCTATACTTTCCTCTCATTATAAAACATCAAGTTAAAATTAAAACCTCAGCATGACTTACAAATAAATTGTAAAAATAATGCTGATCAGTGTAAACCTTCATAAAGAAAGGTCAGAAATACAGAATTAATTAAACCTCATTTAAATTATAGAAAATATAAATTATGCAAACTTACATGATGAAATTATGGTGAGCAATGGCAACATAAAACGCTCTATGAGAATAGATGGGTTTGTGGCATAGAAACAAAACAGGAACAGCACCCAGGATGGGATGGGGGAAGGTTAACGGGCTGGAACTTTTTTGGTTGTTTGTTTTTTAAAGTTGTGTTTTCAGCAGTATCTCCAATCAATCCTGGAAATTCCATAGTTACCAGTAATGTGTGAGCTTCTGAGGCCCCATGGGAGCTCAATCAAACTCATAATTATGGTTGTGAGGCAACATAAACTCCTTCAGTGTATGATTTAATTTCCTGAACTGCAAGGGAATCTGTGATAACAGGGGACCTGGAGGAGCTACTTTCTTGACCATGAGTGAAACATTTAGTTTCAACCTGCGGTTAACTTATCTCAAGTTCAGGCCAATAACGATAAAAGAATATAGGGTGGCGAAATGTGCCGTCTTCATCTTGTCCAACTGACCTTCTAAACAGGTATATTAATGATCAGTTTTTCTTGGAGGAGTATTTTTTCCTTTCACGTTCCTAGGTTGCCAATTCAGAGTTAACTGCTCAATGCCAATGGCAATAAAAGGGATGTAATAGTGTGTTTAACCACAGCCAGATGAAGCAACTTCTCAATTATTCACTTATTAAATTCAGTACTACTGAGGGGAAGAAAGATTTTGACACACTACCCATACTTAAATATTCAGAATTACCTTGAATCACACTGAATATCACAACTCAGAAAAGGAATTAAACCATTTATGTATCTGACATATATGATATGATTAATATAAATTAGGAAAATTTATTTTAAGTTGCAGTGTAACAAAAAGCAATTTAAAGTTATTTTTGCACATCAATTACACAAATGTCTGATCTCTCAAAGTTGGAAATTTCCACATGTCATTGATAAACTTCACCATCTAATAAGAAAATCTCTTAAAATTATGAAATGAAAAGTACATTTCTAATAGCACTGCATGAAATTTTAAACACCCAAAGCTGACTTATAAACAATACCCTAAATTTATCAGCACAAAAAACTTTTAGCTACTTTTTGTTTTTCCGCATAGGATACTCTCAAGTGGTAAGGTATTCACAAGGCAAGGTACAGTGGGATTCTTTTACTATTTTGCTTGACACAGATAATTCATCCTAGCTACGTGGTTATTTACAAGGATATTTTAGAGTAAAAATTGCAGCTGCTTTTGTTATTAAGTTTTAAAAACCCATTACATTGCTAAATAACCAGCTGAGATATAACACACTGGAGATGTTTTTAGAAAATTATAAAACATAATCATGTTAACTCAAAAACTGCCAAATGAATCTCTCTCATTTCTCTAATTAGCTTGCTTTTAAAGGAAATATGAGCTATAATAAAATTTAAAAGAAATTACCAAAGGATATGTGGAATTAAAAATCATTAATCTGGGCATCTAATTGAAATAAATATTGCTAATGAGAGCCAGGATGCTATGCATTTTAATCACAAAAATGAATGTCAACTGTCTCACAGCAAAAAAGGCTGTGTCATTTGTGATGGATAAGTTCTTATTTTCAGCACTGTGAGGGTGTTTCCTGAATTCAATTCTCACCAACAGCTAAGACAACATTGAGAAATGGGACATGGGAATGACAGGACAGACTGACACACACCGAGACCAGAAGAAATGTGCTGGCAAATTGGTCAGCATGGAACAACTAGTATTTCCTCCCAATGGCATTAAAGTAAGTGAGATAAAATCAATAAACAGTGCTCATGCTGTATAACAAGTGCAAATGGGATACTTTGTGATGGGAGAAAAATGGCTCTTTTAAAAGACCTAGAACTCTCCTAGGTAAGACTGGGAGAACTGGGTCAGAGCTTCCTTTGGGTTTTCACAAAGTTTGGGTCAGTAGAGCTTTTAAACAGATCTACTCACCTTGACCCATTTTCATCAGAGACATAAAATATCAAATTAGAAGCCTTACTGAGGTCTTCTGCAGACTAGAGGCTCTATGATCCCTGGCAGAGACTGGGCTGGGCGGCTGAGTAGGCATTTACTCTCACTGCAATGTCATGTCACTCAACAGTTTCTCCATACAAAAGTGTTCTTTCTTTGCCGCTCTCACAGCAGCCTCAGTTGCCGCTCTGTGCAACCTTGCTTAAGCATGACAGACCAGTCACCCTCACTGTGTGTCCCTCTCCTGGTTCCCTGACATGTATGAAGCCCATGCACTGAGTAACGTTACGGGGGGATGCCAATGGGACCCAGCAGAAACCTCAATCACTTTGAGTCATTTTAAAACGTTCTGTGTCTCCATGGCAGCCAGCAAACTGGCTCAGAAAGAGACTGGACATGCTAATAAGCAAACCAAACGCTTCAAAGCAGTATCATCAGTCCCCTCCAGCCCGCTTTTCCTGCTTCTACAGAGAGCCCAGTCACCACCTTTCTATTTCAGTCACACTATGGTTCTGTGGGAACTGTCATTTTACTTTACTGCAGTTTCCAAGGCCCTAAAATAACCTTCTCATTAGCTTCACTCAAGTTCACTGTTAACATAAATAGGCCAAAATAGGCACTGCAAGGGAACATTATCAGCACTGCTCATCTATTTATGTTCTAAACAGAAATATTCAAAAGACTGTGAAAAAAAAAATCGTCGGTTTTTCAAATTATCAGGAAATACACTGTGCATAATTTTTAACTTCCTGGAAAGGAATTAAGATGACTGATAACTTTTAATTCACTACTTTAGGCTTGACTCTTTCTGTCATATCCAGGTGGCCACTAGCAGAAGCTTGAGTAATGTGGAAAATATGTCTGTGCAGCTGCTGGCAAAGAAGCAAAATTATACTTCCTCAGAAACAGTGTGACAGAGTTCCTGAAAGGAATGCAATGTTGGCTGATCTGTAAGCAGAACTGCCACTGGCATGCACCCTCAAATCCAACCCCAGCTCTCCCTGGTCATATCCCACACTGGACTGGACGGCTGGAACCTCATAAAAATAGAACTGTTCCATTGTGGGTCAGGTACTCATCTTTCTTGTCCACTCTCCAGGACACGTTCAAGCTTAGGGTAAGAAAAGAGAACAAGCTCTCGGGAAGAGCAAATGATGCTAGAGGAAAAGAGGGAAGAGCTGTCCCCTTCACTGGTAAGGGCAGCTAACGAGGGCTGTCTCCTTAGCTCAGCTTCCACAGCTACCTTTGCTTCAAACTTTAGCTTCAACTGTTGACTAAAGTCACTAGAACAATAAACTACCAGTGGGATTAGTGATTTTCACTATGCTTGGAATGCACAGAGGAATGTAAACATCTTTCCCTAGAGAGTCTCAGAACAGCTGATCGGCCTGCCCTGCAAACTGTATCTCAGGTGTTGGCACACCTTTTCTTTCAAGAGTCAGTAAGTAGTCATTGTGGGCTACATATGGCCTCTGTTGCCACTATTTAGCTCTGTAGACATAGCTTAAAAGAAGCCATAAAAAATATATAAACAAATGAGTATGTCTGTGTCCCAATAAAACTTTATTTATAAAAACAGGCAGTGGGCCGGATTTGACCTGTGGCCATAGTTTCCTGACACGTGCTGTATCTAATGGCTACACTGATATTGTTACAAGAGGGACTGAGAAGTGGTCAAGACCAGAATCAAATTGTTTTGGCAAAACTAACCCATGGTGTTAGAAGCCAGAAGAATGGTGGTTGCCCACTGTGGGGCCTGAGGGGCTGGGGGAAGTACTGTCATTGGGAAGGAACATGAGGAAGTTTCTGGGTTGCTGGTAATATTCTGTTTCTTTTTTTTTTTTAATAATATATCTCTTTATTGATTTCAGAGAGACGAAGGGAGAGGGAGAGAGAGAGAGAAACATCAATGATGAGAGAGTCACTGATCGGCTGCCTCCTGCATGCCCCCTACTGGGAATCGAGCCCGCAACCCGGGCATGTGCCCTGACCGGGAATCGAACTCCGATCACCTGGATCCTAGGTCGATGCTCAACCGCTGAGCCACGCTCGGCCAGCAATATTCTGTTTCTTGATGTGGGTGTTTGGAAAATTCATTGAGCTTTGTGAGAATTAATTTCTGTATTTGGTACTTCAATAAATGATTTTTTATAAAAAGAAAAAAAAAAACCAAGCTGTGTTAAAGAAAAAATGATTTTAAGGAAAGTCAGGTAGCCCAGCCGGGCGTGGCTCAGTGGTTAAGCGTCGACCTAGGATCCAGGCGATCAGGGTTCGATTCCCGGTCAGGGAACATGCCCGGGTTGCGGGCTGCAGCCAATCAAAGACTCTCTCGTCATTGATGTTTCTATCTCTCTCTCTCCCTCTCCTTTCCTCTCTCTGAAATCAATAAAGATATATTTAAAAAAAAAAAAAGAAAAGTCAGGTAAAAACTCGTATGTGGAGAGTGTAGGTGTTCAGCTAAGTGTCCATGGGCTCCCAGCAATGGAGTGAGGGCACAGGCCGTTTTCTGGAGTGCTTTTAAAAAAACTGTGGTAAAAACACATAATGTAAAACTTACCATTTTTAAGTGTTCGGTCTGATAGTGTTAAGTATATTCACGTTGCTGTGAAACAGATGTCTAGAATTTTTTCATCTTGCCAACCTGAAACTTTACACCCATTAAACAACAACTCTGCGTTTCCCGGTTCCCCAGGCTTTGGTAACAGCCATTTTACTTTGTTTCTATGAATGTGACTACTTTTGATACCACATATAAGTGGAATTATATAGTATTCGCCTTTCTGTGACTGGCTTACTCCACGTCATTAATGTCCGCCAGGCTCCTCCAGGTTATAGCACGTGATAGGGTTTTCCTCCTTTTTAAGGCTGAATAATAATCCCGTGTACGTACCTACCACATTTCGTTCCTCTGTTTATTCGTCAGTGGACATTTGGGTGCATCCACCTTTTGCATCCTGTGAATAGTGTTGCTGTGAACATGGATGTATAAATATCTCTCGAGACACCGCTTTCATTTATTTTTTATTTTTTATTTTTTGCTTTATGTCCATGGGTGAGGTTGCTAGATCATATATGGTAGTTTCATCTTTAATTTTCAAGGAGCTTCCATACTGCTTTCCATAAAAGTTGCACCATTTTACAAGTCCACCAACAATGCGTAAGGGCTCCCATTTCTTTACATCCTCAGCAACACATTTTCTGTTTTTGTGATAGTAGCACAGATCAATTTTTCCAAAGCTATTTTTTAAGGCTGGCATAGCCTTCAAGAAAAGTTATCTTAAATCCTTATTGAAACTTTATATTTATCCTAAAAGACCAGCAACATTTTGATACAACTTTACCTTCTTTGCTCAAAGTGTTTGAATTTGTTGAATATTCCTAACAAGTGAAGTGCACAGCAGATACTAAAGGACTCACAGCAAGAGGAAACATTTAAAGTTATGTTTTCCTATCTTGTCTGAAATGCCACCCATGTGGGTATATCTCCCAGAAAAAGCAACAATATGGTTAAAAAAGAGCAAGTACAAGGTGAATACATAATTTATTTCATTAGCTTGGTCCCACTAAACTGGAAAAACTGGGCATTCTCCCAAATGGAACAAGTAGATGGCATAGGTGGACGCAAAGAACTCCCCAAAGTAATGACACAATTAGGAGGAAAAGAGCTCGAGGTGTGAACTGAATCAGTGGATGGTCAAAGAGAAAAACCAGGCTCCAGGAGGTATGACACTTAGTTGCCTACCTTGCTCTTCCAGAAGGACTCGCACAGCTGAGTTTTCCTCCACTTTTTTTCTGGCTTCTGCTTCTTCCTCTTTTGACCATTGCATATGATCCCTATCGAAAAACAAAATGATTGTAAAACATGCTTTATAACGGAAGAAAGCAGGAAAAGGGTGGCAGGGGAGACACCTGTCATTCTAGATTACTCAAAGACGAATGATACAAACTAATTCCATGTCGACTGAATATATTTTGTGTCAGATGTTCCTTCTGATAAGTGCTGGCACAACCCACCCTGGAACTCCCACGGTTTCTTTCTTTAAATCTGGTTGTGTTGCAGGCCCCAGCCACCTTTTGGAAATGATTGCTGAGGTCCCAGAAGCACTACTGTGGTGCATGATTACTTGGCTGCTGGTACGGTTTCCTGTATTTTACTCTAACACTAAATGCACTTGCCTTTTTGTTAGCTTATGACCAGGGTAGTCTTTAATGGTTTTGAATGCTCTTTTTAAAATACTTGTAAAATACTTTGTACTTACCCTCAGTTTTAAAGGAACTCTAGACTTTCCTTATTATCTGCCTTAATTTCTATAAATGGGTTCATTTGTATTTAAATTATAGACTACCTGATATAACATATAAAAGGGCCACCTTTCTAAGGTTTGGCACTTTCTTTAAGTATTTTTTAGTTTCAGAATTTGCTTTCATTATATGAGAAGATACTTTTTTCTGCCGCAAAAATGTCTTTCTTGGAATAAAAGCAGCATCTTTATACAATAAGGTGATTTTTTTGTTTGGTTTTGTTTTTACAAAGTATGCATTTCCTTTTTGCAACTGGTAAAACTATAGCGAGTGATGTGATTTCCTGGAATAAACCATTTTTCTAAACAATAATGAAATCACATGCACAAAAATTCAAGTTCTATATATCTTATTGAAAATTGTAAAAAAAAACACCACCCATTACTAACAGTAGTATCACATGATACTTATAGCTATCTCCCTGAGGAGAAAGGAGTAAATTATAAAATTCCTGAGGTGCATCATTATGGTGGCTGATAAACATTAACTGATATGTGTGTAAGTTGGGACTATGGATAGTTTATAGAGGAGACAAAAAAATCCATTTTGATTGGTTCTCTTGGGTAACTGCAGCTGAAGCTAGGAGCTGGTGTGCTCAGAATCGGAGGATCTCAAATGTGAGCAGTTCAGTAGCGTGCAAGACAGTGACTTGGGGGGGCAGGAGGAGGGGAGACCAATTAGAAGACTGTTACAGTGACCTAGGAGTAATGAGTCCTGGGACTCAGGTGGTGGCAATGAAAAACAGAAACAAAGAGCGGGAGGAGAAACACTGTGAAGAAAGCCTGTCGTGTCCTGGAGACTAACTAGATGTTGCAGGGAGTGGAAGAAGGGTCAGGAATGATTTCAAGGTCTTAGAACCGAGTATCAAGAACACTGGGCGTACCAATGAGAGAATAAGGAGGTGGTTTGGGTAGAATGAGGATAAGCTTGGTACTATGTTAGGTAATGTGCGTGCCATCAGATATGAAAGGGTGCACTCCAGCGACCTGCCTATAAACACACCACCGAAAGATGAGAGGCTGCTTTCTTCCAAGAAGGATTAGACCTGGTACACTGAAGTCCCCAGGAAAAACAAACGATGATGTACAACTCAGAATTTCACAGATGAAACTTTAACCACCATTATTTCAAATAAAACCCAATTATTTACAACCCAAATAGTCATTAAGCAGCTTGATCACTTGCTTTAATAAGATTAGAATAGATTTTTGATTTGACTTAGTTTAATATACGTGAGCAATCACATATGTAACTTTGAGCTGGCAAATATACTTTGTATTCGATACATATCAATATATAGGGTGGGGCAAAAGTAGGTTCGGATAGAAAATAATATAATAATAAATAATACAAGAATAAACTGTGTTTCACATACAACTGTAAACCTACTTTTGCCCCACCCTGTATATAAAATATTATTAAAGGCAACAAATCATTTATTTAAACACTAGTATTGCCCTGGCTGGGTTGGCTCAGTCGGTTGGAGTGTCGTCCCCATACACCAAAAGGTGGTGGGTATGATTTCTGGTCAGGGCACATACCTAGGTTGTGGGTTCGATCCCAGGGTAGCATACGGGAGGCAACCGATTGGCGTTTCTCTTTCCTATCGATGTTTCTTTCTCTCTTTAAAATCAATAAAAACATATCCTCGGGTGAAGATGAGAAAAAGCACTATCAAGGCTGGGACAAGCCTCTCACATGTAAATTTCTATAACATATGAGAAAGGAAATAGAACAATTCACTTCTCTGTAAAAAATCAAGCTCTGAGACAACGAGAGTATATGTGGTCTTTAGCTTTAAGCATGTTTTAAACTGTTAGTTCAACATGCTTCTTCCTGAGCACTTAATAGGTTTAGTTATTTCTTAAATTGCTCTAACTTCCTTACACTGTTCTTTATGTTGCTTCATTTTCTTAACTGCAAAGTGAGGGTAATATTACAGCCTAAACCGCTGCAGAAAAGATTTTCCACTGTACAGTTACAGAATCCCCACTGAAACCTATAAAATGTTCCCACTGTATTTATGGGACTTCCTCCAGACCTGCAGCTCTATGGTAGTTCTTTATATTAGAAAAGTTTGATTCACGTGTACCCAAACCCAACAGACAGCAATAAGAATCATTCAAGTTTATAAGTAATAAATACAATTGCAATAGGATTTAAGCATAGAAACAAATAACTAACAAACTGACTGAAAATAATCAGGTATTTAAGAACCACTGCCATCACCACTATCCAAGGGGAAAAAATGACACATACTGTTTGACCTATGAATTATACTTCTGGGAATTTATTGTAAGAAAGTAACTGAAAAGAACAGAGAAGTTCTTTAGAGAGAAGTATCTTTAGAGACAAGGAGTCTTTTTTATTCTTCAGACCATTACTATGGTCTTCACTGTTTTCATCATATGACCTTGCATACACTCCTCTTTATTGTTTATTTGTTCATTGGTATATATGTCAATTCTCCATCTAATACTGATAACAAGAATGATGGCTTTTAGAGAGTACTTATCACTAAGAGTTTTACATATTTATGTCCTTTAATACAACATCCCCCTGAAGGAACTTGCTCAAGTTCACATAGCTGGAATGGGGTAGAGTCCAGATTTAAATTCAGATTCTGAATCCCATGTTTAGCCACTATATTAACTCTGAGTGTAGCTATAAACTTCTAATAGACATGAACTGGATATCATATTTCTCTATATTGATTCACTTATTCAAATAGACTTATTAGGCGCTTATTATATACAGAATATAGTTATGAAACAGACATAAGCTAAAGTCTTCTCTGAAGAAACATATAATCAAATAATGAAGATAAAATAGATATGTAAGTAACTAAAGTATGTTAGAAAATGGTGCCCGGCCGGGCGTGGCTCAGTGGTTAAGCGTCGACCTAGGACCCAGGCGATCAGGGTTCGATTCCCGGTCAGGGCACATGCCCGGGTTGCGGGTTGCAGCCGATCAATGACTCTCTCATCATTGATGTTTCTGTCTCTCTCTCTCCCTCTCTTTTCCTCTCTCTGAAACCAATAAAAATATATTTTTAAAAAAAGGAAAAAAAAGAAAAGAAAATGGTAACAATAAGCTGATTCTTATGTATTGCTTATTTACTATATGTATACATTTTATATTATATATACTAATTTAATCCTCACAACAACCCTATGAGAGCAGATATTACTATTATTATCTCATTTTAAAGATGAAGAAACTGAGGCACAGATAAAGTAAGTTCCCAAGTTTAGACAACTAGTCAATATGTGCTCTCAACATCTAAACTAGACTGTCTCTAATGACAAATGTCATAATGAAGGTTGACAAAGAAAATATTTATCTGTATTAATGAACTGTGTATTAAACACGGCGAGAGGAATCAGAGATAAATACAATGATTAAAGAAAAATTGATACTATAAAATAAGAAAAAAATCTTGATATCTGAACTCACTTGGAATTCTGGAAACAGTCTATCATTTAAATGGGTTATATAATAGAAAGACATTTCACAACATACATGTCCTGCCTTAGATCTACAGAGAATAGCTTAGCTCAGAATTTTTTAAACTAATGGTCACAACTGTTAGTGAGTCAAGAAATCAATTTAGGTAGTCTTATACTGACAATTAAAAAGAGAAAGAAACAGAAATGGAGTAGAACAGAATAAATGGAAACTATCTGTACATGTCTCACATGGTAAAAACGGGACAGAAAACTTTTGTTCCTATTTCATATATGTGCATAGTTATGTGTACATGTACTGGCCCATGATGTAAGCTGTACCTTTTACTGTGGATCATGCCAAAGAGCTTGAAAGCCATTGGCCTAGCTGATTTAGTCATATAATAATACAAGTACTTACTGCTTTCTTATAATTTTCAGGGTTCTCTCGAAAAGTTGCTACACACTTACACTTGGAACAGCATGGAATGAGGAATGATTTCGCCAAGTAAGTGTTTAAGTTGCTAAATATAGAAAGATCTCTGGGCCATTTCTCAAAAGCATTCTAAATATAGTTTTATGTCAGTGTCCCCCCACCCCAAATTAATAAATGCACTAAGTATAATTAAAAGATAATCAGAAAACTATAAAATGATTTAGTCACTCTGTAAAATAGTTTGGCGCATCCTCAAAAAGTTAAACATGGAGTTACTAGGTGACCCAGCAACCCCATTCCTAGGTAAATACTTCAAAGAATTGAAAACAAGTAAGTGTATAGACATGTTCATAGCAGCTGTATTCACAAGAGTCAAAAGGTGGAAACAGCCCAAATTTCCACCAGTGGATGAATGGGTAAACCAGCTGTGCCATATGCATACCACAGAACATTATTTAGTCATAAAAAGGAATGAAGTACTGATACATGCTAGAAGGTGGATGACCCTCCAAGACATTATGCTAAGTGAAAGAAGCCACACACAAAAGGTCACATATCATAGGACTCCATCTACGTGAAATCTCTAGAAGAGGCAAATCCACAGAGACAGGACACAGACCGCTGGCTGCCCGGAACTGGGGGACGGCAGGGTGGGGCTAAGTTGCCTCATGAGAGTTCACTGCGGAGCGATGGGAATGTTTTGGAAGTGGATACAGGTGCTAGTTGCACAAAACTGTGAATGTAATTGATGCTGCTAAACTGTTCACTTTAAAATGATTAATTTTACATTATGTGAAATTCACTTCACCAAGCTATTAAAAAATTAAAGCCTATAGGCAGCTGTAAATATTAGTAATACAAACATCCAGAATCGGGAGGGCAAACCTTCCTCAGGAGGTTAGGAACTCAATAAAAAGGGGTCTATTTTTTCTCAAAAAAAATTTTTAAAGAGGGTCATATATAGAACAACTAGTCCTTATTAATTAAGCTAGAGACTGAAGAGAAACATAAACTGTAGACAATCCTGACTAACATCTCTGACAGAAAATTGATATAGACTTTTCTAGAAACTTTAAAAAATCAAAATTCAGCAAGAGAGGAAACATTACTCTTAAATATAAAGGAGAACATAAGGGAGGAAGGGAGCACTTTTGGACAGAACTTTGGACTTGAAGGAAGGGGAAAGTAAACCAGTCTTCTGGTTTTCAGTTGGTGTGAAACAACTACTTTCCTCCTACGTCGCTGTTACAGTGTATCTCTGCCTTTGGAGAGAGGTCACTGGAGGTGTCCTGGCACAGGCTAGAAAACCCCTTGTGGGGTATGCTATGGAGACACGTCTGACAAGACTAGATCAAAGTTTCTCAAACTTTGATCAACAGAACCCTGAAGGTCCTCCTGGCTGCTAAAGTGAGAGATGAGGCTTGGGGGAGGAAAAGGAAGGTGGAGCTGTTGATGCCCTAGGCCTTCACGCCCACTCCATTCAGAGCATGTTTGTTTTCATCTTTTATTTTTTTAATTTATTTACAAATATATTTTTATTGACTTCAGAGAGAGGAAGGGAGAGGGAGAGAGAGAGAGAGAGAAACATCAGTGATGAGAGAGTCATTGATCGGCTGCCTCCTGCATGTCTCCCAACTGGAGATCGAGCCCGAAACCCGGGCATGTGCCCTGACAGGGAATCGAACCCTCAATCTCCTGGATCCTAGGTCGATGATCAACTGCTGAGCCATGACCTTTTAAATACTGGGATTCTATGTTATGATTTCACTTGGGAAAAAAATTCTGCTGCTAGAGAAAAGTTTGAAAATCATTAGACTGGATCAAGGATTCCTAAACTTAGCTGCTCAAAAGAATTACTAAAAGACCTTTTTCAAATTACAAATGTCTGGGCCACACCTAGTGAAACAATAACTCTCCAAGGGATTCTTGTGCAGCAGCCCAAAGCTAGTCCACTGAACCAGGCGACCCTTGCTTTCCCGAAGCCTACGACAAAATAGAACTCAAATGGGTAGGCAGGGATCTTGCACAAAAGAGCTGGTGGTAGCAAATGGAAAAGGAGAACACAGACAGGTAAATCACTAGAGTCTAATGAAGAAAAAAAACTGGCTCAGAAGAAGATCCTCTAGGGGTTTAATTGCCTAGCAATGATCTCCTCGCCTACTATAACTGTCCATGTGGGTACTGGTAGTCAAAATGGTTTTAATTCAGCAACTGTCCAAAAGAGTATAATGTGAGCCACAAAAGTAATTTAAAATTTTCTAGTAGCCACATTAAAAAAAGCGAAAAACAGTAAAATTAATTTTAAAATTAATTTTAATAGTATTTAATTAATACTATTTTAACATATAATTCAGCATAAAAATTAATAAATGATATATTTTACCTTTATTGTGTTGTCTTCAAAATGTTACAGCACATCTCAGTTCAGACTAATCAGGTTTTAAGTGCTGAATAACCTCATGCGGCAAGTGGCTACCATATTGTATAGTACAGGACTAATTAATAAATGGTCAATCTATTCCTTTAAAAATTGATATTCTGTTGCAATAACTACATAAAAAGCCCACGGATCACCTTCCCAGCCCTAGAGACCCTCCTCCCAAAGGTACTCAGAAAACAATTTTGTCTGCAGATGTCATACTCAACTTTACATCTTCAGCCCTGGCCTCTGACCCTCTTCCCAGCAGCAGAGTCTGTGTTCTGAACATTTCTACCAGATTCTTCTGCTCCCAAAGCCTATTCAAAATATCTAAAACTAAATTCACCATTTTCTTCCAAAATAAAAAATCAATTTACTTCTTGATTTTCCTATTTCTGTTAGTCATCTAGGATCAAAACTTCAGTCAAATGCTTCCTTTTCCTTTACTCTACAAAAGCAACGAGTTCTATTTATTCTTTCTTTGAAATTTTTCTCTTACTGGTCCCTTGCCTCCTTGTAGTTCTACCTGCTGATCTGTCCAGGATGCTGTTACTAAATATACATACTTCTTAAACTAGGTAAAAAGTCATTTCTCTTCAGTGGCTCTATAATGCCTTACACCTCAGCTCTGAATTCAGTATCATGCATAATCTTGCTCCTACCCCTATGCCTAGCCTATATCATTTCAACCTGATCAATCACCAATCTCCTAGAAGAGCCTTTATTTTTGGCAAACTATCCTGTTTACTGTCTCCAGATTATGCCTTTTACTTCTTTATTTCTGTTTTTTATGACTTTCTACCCACCTAGAATGCGCTTACTCCAGCTTTACCTATCTAGGTCATTATTCCACAAATATTGTAGAATATTTAGGTACTGAAGATGGAATAAATAATCCTAATCTCGGTTTCCCCACTTATAGAAATCTTCCCTTACATGTCAATTATACTTTCATGGAGCTGAAATTAAAAAAGAAATATTTCTGACTATTCCAAAATAGAAGTGATTTTGTGTTGCTGAGTTGTTCTTACAAGATGTATACCAGTGTGTTCTCCTGGGTGTTTAGTGAGCAGCAAGTACTGAATACACATTTGCTGACTGACCAGTAATTATAAAGAAGAAGGGCTTGTGGGGCAGCAGGAGGATTCTACCTAGAAGAGAGGATGGGAGTGATACACGAGCAAATCAGGATCAGGGGTGAGCAGGGAGGCCCTGCAGGAACCTCAAAGCTGAGGAAAGCACTTGGGAAGTTTCAGTTTTCCAACTCCATTTGCAAAGAAATTAGAATTGTCAACTCTTAAATTAGGATCAGTTGGCCTCAACCACATAAGTTAACTGCTCAGCACTGAAAATCCTTTCTTGGTGCTAAGTGAAAATAATACCACTGGTGATTTTTAATATACATACATAATATCAAAACTAAGAAGATAACTCACCACATGTTGTGCTCAAAAACCTTGTCTGGGTCAGTTAAAATCCTTGATCCCAGAGGGGCCACTGGGTGACCACCACTTTGGCATCTGTGTGGCACCTTTCTTATCCGTAGACAGGAAATAGAATTTCTCCAAATCCCATTCATCTTAATCAGTACCTAAAAAATTACAAACAATTAATTAGTCAATATGGATTAAACAGTATATTGTTTATCTAATAGCCAAAAACTGGTCCAAAAGGTTTATAACCCGCGAAAGGACATGCAGACTAAATAATTTTAAATGAAAGATGGGCAAGACAGCTTCTCTCCTCAAGTATTTTCAGGCTAAGAGAAGGGAAAAGAATATTTAGAGTGCGCGACATTGGCTAGCATTCTTTATAAGGCACAGCTTTGACCAACTTTGCCTTGTTTGATATTTGCTTATATAATTTTTAGCACATGGCCAAAGCACATAAGCCCAGAATCTGAATTCTGTGTATTAAAAAGCTTTCTTAAGTGATTTTATTATTTATGTTTTAGAATTCTAGGAAAACATATTTCTAGGGGATATTTTGTGACCACTAGACCAAACCCCTAAGTATAGTAGCCAAATAAGAAAATAAACCTATTGTCTCATCGCCTGGGCTGTGCTAAATAAAATGAAAATCAGTCAAATAAATAAGGAGATACTGTATTAAGATATAATCCCAGCAATTCTTAATTCTAACAACCTGCATACACATACTTTTAAGGATATTTAGTAACACGTTGCTAAGTAGGTTTCCCTGTACAAAGCACTAGCTCATCAGTTGACTAGCCACATCCATCCCTATTTCTGAAATAATTTAAACATTTAAATAGTATGTCATCCTAATTATGTATTGGCAAATATGTCAGTTTAGAATGTTTATGGAAAAGTATCAAAAAGAAGCTCTAGAGAGCTTACTTTTCCCAGTAAGAAGCCATTGTAATACTGCTCGGCGTTTCACTCCCATTCAGTTGTTCATCACGACATTCAGCCTAACGCCGTAAGCTGTCAGGTGGAAACAGATGCTATAAGGCGTGTGTACATACTACGCATTAAGAGACTATCTGAGGTGCTATTAGGCATAAAAATGGCATGTATTGCACACCCTTTACCACCTTATTGAAAGTCAATGGGTTTTAAGACCGTGAATTCCAAAATGAACTGCAGAATGTCAAAAACATCTCATTGTGTTTTTGAACATAAAATTCATGGTTTTCCTTTTGGAGAAAAAAAAAGGCTTAGTTATATACACCAAAAAGACTGTAATGGTTCTATTCAAATGTGACTAACAGTGATGAGAAAATGAAACATTCAATAGCTAGTGTGGATCCCTTTTTTCTTGTTTGTTTTTCCTTCTTGGTGGAAGCAAATGAAGTTAAATGCTCCACAGACCACTACCTTTCCTCTGATGTGCCTTTGTTCTTTTCTCCTGCCAGTGCGCCGTGTAAGGCTAAGAAAACCCTACTTGCACAATTATTTTTAGAGCTCTCTTTCTGCACTGAATGCTACTCATAAAATCTCCATGCTGAAAAGTAGAAACTGATTACACCCAGAAAGAGAGGAAATTCATGCTCGAAAGTGTAAAATGATGTAAACGTATTCCACCCAGAAAAGCCAAATCAAAATGAAATTTCAATCCTTCAAATAATCATGTGATACTTATCTATATCTATCTATATATAGAAGAGGAAGAGAGAGAAAAATAATAGATCGGTTTCTCTCATTATAAATTACCAAGAACCTCTACAGACAGTTGGAGACAAGTCATAAGCAGATTGGATATTAGGCAATTCAGGAAAATGTCCGAGATGTGTGTCCCTTGCAGGCTGCCAGCCTGTAGAGAGACTATAGCGTGGTCAGGACCTAAATATGTGGCAATTTGTCCTGCTTAGGCAGTTGTTTTTCTAATTAACCACATAAGCATCTTTATCTATTTTACTTACTATCTGTAACAATCACAGCCTTGCATCCCTCTTTGTCTTTTGTATTACATAAATATACAAATGTATATAATAAATATAAATATATAATAAAATTACATAAATGCCTTCTCAAGTAAATTGCAAGCTTCTAAGGGGAGCACCAAGCTGCTTGTGAATTGTTTGACTGATTACACAGAAATGATACTTGTCTTATATAAATTTAATTGGAAGAAAGTTACTTCATATTTTCCAAGGTGGCTCCTAAGATCCTTACAGTGTGGAAGAAAGAAATGAGGGAAGAATGTGACAGCATACAGGCAGCTATCCAGTTATACTGACTACAGTGATGAAGATATATGTGCTTCATGTTATAACTATCGTAACAGCTTAATGTTTACTAGGCCATGGTTTCATTTTGTGATGGGAAAAGAAGAGAAGAGCAGGGTTAGCTAGAATTCTGGTGGAGAAAGTTGGTTTCTGCTACTAGAGTGTCCCACTCTCTTTATGTACCCTCTCTAAACTCTCTTTCAACATACCCTAATTTGGATACAGATTTAACTAAGATATTATTTGCAAAATGAAGCTGTATGGGTAAGAAGTATTTTTATTTGAAATAAAAACATTCCATTCACTGGAAAGAAGGCAGGAAAGGAAGAACAGAGGAAGTAAAAACAGATGGGACAATTAGTAACCAAATACCAAGAAGGCATATTTAAACCCAACCATATCAATAATTACATTCAATGTAAATGGACTCTAATTAAAAGACATAGATTGTTACTTGGCCAGTGTGGCTCAGTGGTTGCGCATCGACCTATGATCTAGGAGATCGAGGTTTGATTCCTGGTCAGGGTACATGCTTGGGTTGTGGGCTCGATCCCCAGTAGGGGGCATGTAGGAGGCAGCCGATCAATAACTCTCTCATCATTGATGTTTCTCTCTCTCTCCCTCTCCCTTTCTCTCTCTGAAATCAATAAAGGCATATTTATTTAAAAAAGAAAAATGACATAGATTGTCAATTTGTATGAAAAAGCAAGACCCAACTATATACTGTCTATAAGAGAAACACTTTAAATATAAAAATACAAATATATTAAAAAGAGATATCATGCAAATACTGCATGAAAAATACTGGTGGAGCTGTATTAATAGACAAAGTAGACTTTTAAAAAAAGACTATTAAAGAGCTAAAATGGGACATTAAATAATGATGAGCCAATTCATCAAGACATAACAATCCTAAGTATATATGTATATAATAACAAAGCTTTAAAATACATGAAGCAAAAATGGACAGAATTTTTTAAAAGGCGAAATTAACAAATTCACAGTAATATTTAGAGATTTTATATCTCCCTCTTAGCAATAAATAGAACATTCAGAAATAAACTATCAAAAAATCAATAAAGATGTAAGATGAACATTATCAACTTAATATCTTATAACATCAGAATACACATTTTCCTCACGTGAACATGGAACATTTGCCAAGGCAGACCATATATCCTAGGCTATAAAACAAGTCTCAATAAATTCCAAAGTGTTAAAATCATACAGAGTATGCTTTCTGACCATAATAATATTAAATGTTAATATTTTTGATGAATTGACTCATTAATAAATATCTTTCCTTTTCTCTGTCAATAGTAATTTTCTTGAACTGTACTTTGTCTAATATTAATATAACTCCACCAACTGTCTTATGCAGTGTTGTGTATGGCATATATATTTTTAAAAATGTATTTGTATGTTTACATTTAAAGTGCTTCTCTTACTGTTGATTTTTGTTTTTCTATCTAAACTTAATAATATCTAGAAAAATTCCTAAATATTTAGAAATTAAGCAACACAGTTCTAAACAACCTATGGGTCAAAGATTTACATGAGTTAGTAAATGTTAAGGCAAATTAGAAAATATGTTAACTGAATAATAATGAAGTCTTAAAATATCAAAATTTATGGGATGTGACCAAAGCAATATTTAGAGGAAAACTTATAGTTTTAAATGCTTCTATTAGAAAGGAAGAAAGATATCAAATCAATGACCTGTTTAAATCTTAAGAAGGCAGAAAAATAGTAAATTAGATACAAAGTAAGTAGAAAAAAGGAAATAATAAAAAGCAGAAATCAATGAAATAAAAAATAGGTGAAACAGGGAAAATCCAAGTCAAAAGCTAGTTCTTTGAAAAGATTAATAAAACTGATAAACCCTTGGCAAGACTGATTTCAAACACCTTTGTTTCAGAAAACACAAGTTTCTAATAACAGGAATAAAAGGGGACATCACCACAAACACTATAGATGTTGAAAAGCTAATTAGGAGATATTATGAATAATTTTATTCCATTTACTATATGGGACAAATGTCTTGAAAAACACAATTTACCTATAACATACCAAAACAGTACAAGAAAAAAATCTAAATAGCCCTACATTTATTAAATAAATTAAATTTGTAATTTAAAGAAAAACAAACATCACATCCATTAGGATGGCTATTATTAAAAAACAAACAGAAAATAAGTGTTAGAAAGGATGTGGAGAAATTAGATCCTTTGTGCATTACTAGTGGGAATAAAAATGGTGCAGCTGCTATGGAAAACAGTATGGCAATTCTTCAAAATATTAAACATGTAGCTACCATATGATCCAGTAATTCTACTTCTGGATATATACCCCAAAAAGTGAAAACAAGGAATCAAAAACATATTTGCATACTATTCACATAGACAAAAGGTAAAAACAACCCGAGTATCCATAGAAAGATGAATAGATAAACAAAACATGATATATACATAGAATGGATATTATTCAGCCTTTAAAGAGGGAATTTTGACCTGGTACAACATGGATGAGGCTTGAGGACATTATGCTAAGTGAAAGAAGTCCACCACAAAAGGACAAATGCTGTATCATTCCTCTTATATGAAGTTTCTAGAGAAGTAAAAAATGCAGAGACAGAAAGTGGATGGTGGCTGTCAGGGGCTGGCAGGGAGAGGAGAGTGGGAGTTGGGTTTAACAGGCATAGAGCTTTAGTTGGTGAAGATGAAGTTCTGGAGATGAATGATTGTGATGTTTGCTGAACAACGTGAATGTCATTGAACCGTACACTTAAAAAAGATTAAGATGGTAAATTTTGTGTATATTTTACCACAATAAAAAACGAAACAAAACAACAACAACAAGCCTTCCTACAAAGAAAAACCATAGGCCTGATAGCGTCACTA